TTAGCTACACATAGACTCACCTCGGGAATTTTCTAAACTCCTCATGGGGGGAAGCATATGATGTCTGCCATTTACTTGGAAGTGAATCATTAAAAAAGAAAAAAATAGTTTCCCCCCCACAGAGGGAAACAAGAAAAGATACTGACAGAGGGAAAAGTTAATTTAAATAAAAAATTTGGATGCTATTTTTCCTGATTCAGGAATAGGTTCAGTAATGTTAGTTGTTGATTTGTAATGAGAGAGTTGGAAATAAGAGGAAGCCATGTCCAAAACATACAATTTGGAGATTTGTGAGTAAATATTAATGATTTTATTCTCCCAAATGATCATTTGCTTTAAAGCAAAAGATGTGAATAGTCATCTTTATGAGTTAGTTTTCAAATAACTTCAGCATGTTCTGTTAATTCAACTTTTGTAATTCTCTGTTGGTGAAACACAAGACTCTATGTTTCCTTCTTACACATTGGCAGCTATCCATATTCAAAAAGGCTTTTGAATGCTAGATACCACAATTCCTATAAAAGTGAAGTATATTACCCATGAAGTCTCATTCTTATATTCACAAGTCATGTTAATTTGGAGTTTCCATGAACAATAGAAGCCAAATGAGTTATCTCAGTACATATAAATGGCCATAGCCTACTTTTAGTTGTTAAAATAACTATTTTAGTTGAAATAGCTTTCTTTGCAACATTAGAAAAACTTAGGATTGCTTTTTACAAGTTTTAAGAATTTTCTGTGATTTTTCTGCAAAACTCGTAACATCTTTATATAAATATATATTTCATTAATGAGGATTCTTTTATTATTCTTCTGTCTTTCTTCTAGATAAAAGTTAAGCAGCTTGAAGAACAACTACATTCTTTTACTGAAACCAGTTCACAGAATGACCATCTACGCAAGTTGAATAAGGCACTAGAGGGCAAATATGCTCAGGTGTGTTTAAGAGCTACAAAACAGATTGCTCTTATTATCGTTTTAATTACCTTCTAAGAAATCTCTGCCTTTCTCCCCACCTCACCATACTAGCGCAGAAAGATGAATATTCTCTCACTTAAGTTAACAAACATTTTTTAAACATCCACTATGTGCAAGTTTCCACTCAGCCATAGAGGAATTTCTAAAGATGCCTAAAGCAGGACTGGGACCTTCAACTTGCTTATGCTATAACTGGCAAATTAGGAATGTAGTCAGTAAACTTTATTCTGAGTAGAAGGTGATGCCTTTCAGAAACAAGCATAGATTGTGTATGAGCATCCATAGGGAGCATCATTATGATGGAAGTGTCAAAAATTGCTTTCATTGAGAATGTGGTTTTTCATTTTGAGCCTTAAAACTTTTGGCCAATGTGAAGAACAAGTATCTTTGGTTTTTGAATTATAGGCAAATGCATAACTCAGTGCCAACAAGAAACACCTGCAGCAGTCAGCACACTTGACAGAGGGCTTACTTGTCAGCATGGTGGCTATTGAGACTGAAAATCTTTTGTAGATCACATAACATTTTAACAGATGAACAAGATACATAAAATATTTAGTGAAGAAAATAATCCAGGAATGTTTCTAAAAGAACATGATTCCAATGATTTACAAATTTACTGTTATTTATTTTTTAACACTCAGTATAAGCGTGTGTAACTTCTGTGTCTATAACATTTATGTATGTGTATGCCTGGTAACCAAGGAACTAGAATGTGTCTTCAAATAGAATACTGCTAGGGTTCTAACCATCTGGCTGTACTGGTAAAGGGTGCCTCATTAGATGGGCTTTGTTTCTTCACTAGGACGTACTTTACACTGATATTTTCTTCATTCGGAAGGCAAAGGAACACATTTTTAAGTATTTTTCCATCACAGCTTCATTTAGAATACTGTGTTGTTTCTTGTAGTAAAAGGGGCACTCATTGAAAAGTAACTCTAGGTTTAGGTGATTTCATTTCTTTTTAATTGATGATGCCTCCTAGAAGAAGGAAATCTCCAGAGAGGCCTGTACCTTCAAAATTCCTTGAAAGCTATAGGCCCCATGTAAACAATGTAAGGGAACGAACTTCAGTTGGTTTGCCCAGTGTTTCTCCAAACCCTGTGCGCCGTGTGACCTTTGCACCTAACCTGACTTCTGTGAGATCTTCTCAGGAGGTTGGAGACTCTAGGATCTCTCTAAGGACTCTCTTGAATGCCATTAAAACCATGGAGGGAAAACTGGAAGGTAAAATAGACATTCTTGCCTCAAGACCATTATTAAGTGATGAGTCACCAAATTTTCTTAAACGGGATTCGGTAAGTGAAGATGACAAATTAGATCATACGGATTTTTCCAATTTTTACAACAATAAAGAGAAGTAATAACAATCCAGAAAGATAATGTTTGGAGGTGTGGAAACAGGAAAATTAGGTTCTTTACAAATAGGAGAACCTAATGTAGATCAAAACCATCATTCTGGCTATTGCAAACTTAATTTTTATTTTGGCCACAGAAATAACAGATTTCATTTAACAGTAACTGCTGAGATTTTTTTAAGTCTAATTTTCATTTCTTAAAAGTCAATGTTAGTAATCTTAACATTTATTGTAAAATGTTTGGGTAAAGTCTGATTTCAAAATAGAAATACATAAATAGAAGCTCTAAGAACTTGAACACTGGAAAATGTTTTCCAAAGAAAACTTACTGGAGTATTCATCTTTGTTTGATATTTAAAAATAGAAAGTAATATAGCTTGTCTTCTGGAGTTGACTACTATTTAGACCCTTTCTGTAAGCACTTTTGCTAGTTGCCTCTTCATATTTATATATATCTTATAAAACTGATAAAATTTTAAAAACTGTTCTTTCTAATGTACTTCTCTAGAATAAAATCTAGTAGGTTCTCAAAAACCTGTAAATTGGCATCCTTTGTACTATCTTTTTATCCTTACAGAAAAAGTTTTTTAAAAGTTACAAGGAAACATTGAGGAAGATGTGGGGAAAAGGCATTCTTCATTGTTGCTGTTGGGAGTGTAAAATGGTACATCTTCCTGTAGAGTGCAATTTGGCAATATTTATCACTTTACCCCAACAGTTGTCTTCTAGGACTTTATCCTACAGATGTACTAACTTGTATATAAGAAATGTTTATAAGATTACTTTCTGAAGTATCGTTTGTTAATGGTGAAAGACTAGAAACAACAAAAATTCATCAGTAAGAGACTAGCTAAATAAATCATGGTATATCCATGGTTTGGAATACTTTTTGAAGATATATATATATTTTAATAATATACATATATATTATTAGGTTAAAACAATCAAGGTTCAGAAAAGTATATGTAGTATTTTACTATTTATGTGCAAAGGGGGTGGGAGGATGAAGACTATATACATATGTCTTCACTTGTAATGCATAGAATATCTCTAAACTGAATCATAATGAATTGACATTATTTTTGAGGGAGGAAATTGAGTGGGAGACTTTTTCACTTAAGACTTTTGTACCTTAAGAATAATCTGAATGTGCTACCTATTAAGAATAGTTTTATGAACATTTTATTTTCAGCAAAAGTAGAGAAAGGATGATCTTTTCAACAAATGGTGCTAAAGCATTTGGATATCCACATGCAAAAACAAAAACAAAATACCTTTGGTCCATACTCCTCACCATATATAAAAATTAACTCAAAATGGATCAGAGCCCTAAATGTAAAACCTAAACCTGTAAAACTTCTAGAAGAAAACATAGGAATAAATCTGTGTGATCTTGGATTACAAAAAGATTTCTTAGATTTGACATCAAAAGCATGATCCATAAAGGGAAAAAAAAGAGAAATTGACAGGTTATGCTCTTGAAAGACATTAAGAAAATGAAGAGATAAGTTACAAGCTGGAGATAAAAATTGCAAATCACATATCTGATAAAAGCCTTGTCTCCAGAATTTATTAAAAAGTGTCAAAACTTACTAAGAAGGAAACAATCTAATAAAAAGAATAGGCAAAGTATTTGAACAGATATTTCACCAAAAAAGATATACGGATGATAAGTAAACACTTGAAAAGATGTTAAACATCCGTCAGTAGGTTTAATGCAAATTAAAACCACAAGGAGATACTACCACACACTATTAGAATGTTTCAAGGTGAAAAACTGATCATACCAAATGTTAGTGAGGATGTGGAGCAACTGGAACTGTCCTGCACTGTGGAAAGGAATGTAAAATTATACAACCACTTTGCAAGATCGTTTAGTAGTTTCTTTAAAAGTGAAACATGCAACAAACAACCCAGTCCCAAAACGGGCAGAAGACTTAAACAAGCAATTCTCCAATGAAGATGTACAGGTGGCCAATAGGCACATGAAAAAATGTTCAATATCACTAATTATCAGAGAAGTGCAAATTAAAACTACAATGAGGTATCACCTCACATCAGTCAGGATGGCCATCATTAAAAATGATAAATTATCCACAAATGATATAAATGCTAGAGAGGGTGTGGAGAAAGGGAGCCCTCTAACACTACTGGTGGGAATGCATTTTGTGCAGCCACTGTGGAAAACAGTATGGAGATTCCTCAAAACACTAAAAATAGACTTACCATATGATCCCATGATCCCACTCAAATGTCCAGAGGGTACTCTAATTCGAAAAGATACAAGCACCCAATGTTCATAGCAGCACTATATTACAATAGCCGAGACCTGTAAACAACCTAAATGTCCATCGACAGATGACTGGATAAAGAAGTTGTGGTATATTTGTACAATGGAATACCAAGCTGTAAAAAAAGAATAAAATAATGCCATTTGCAGCAACATGGATGGACCTGGAGATTGTCATTATAAGTGAAGTAAGCCAGAAAGAGAAAGAAAAATACCATATATCACTCATATGTGGAATCTTTAAAAAAAAAAAAAGACAGAAATGAACTTATTTACAAAACAAACAGAATCACAGATATAGAAAACAAATTTACGGTAACCAGGGAGGGAAGAGGGTGGGAAGGGATAAATTGGGAGTTTGAGATTTGTAGATACTAACTTCTATATATAAAATAGATAAACAACATGTTTCTTCTGTATAGCACAGGGAACTATATTCAATGTCTTGTAGTAACCTACAATGAAAATATGAAAAAGAATATATGTATGTATATGTATGAATGAAACATTAGGCTGTACACCAGAAATTGACATATTATAAACTGACTATACTTCAATTAAAAGAAGTGAAGAATGCTCCTACTGTATAACCCAGCCATTCCACTCCTAAGTACTTACCAAAGATGAATGGAAGCATATGTCTACACAAAGATTTGTACACAACTGTTCAGAGCAGCTCTATCTGTAATAGCTTAAAACTGGAACAACTCAGGAATCCAGCAGGTAACTGTATAATAGAATACTGTTCAGCAACAGAAAGGACTGAATTGTTGATAGATGCAGAAGACTGAATTTCAAAGTAATTGTGTTGCATGAAAGAAACCATACAAAAATAAGTACGTAAAATATGATTTCACTTACATAAAATTGTAGAAAATAAAAGTTTATTTTGACAGAAAACAGATCAGTGTTTGCATTGGCTGGATGTGTAGAAACGGAAAGGGAGATTACGAAGGAGCATGAGGGAATTTTGGGGATGATGGAAATGTTTATTATTTTGATTATGGTTTCAAGAATTTGTATATCAAAATTGTATACTTTCAATATACACAGCTGCTTATATGTCAATTATACCTCAGTAATGCTGTTTAAAAAATAATGTGAATGTATTGTATAAAAATTAATTGTATTAAATGTTTAAAGTAGCATTCTTGACAAAAGCAATGGAGTTTACTATTTCATGGTTGCCAAGGCTTTACGGGGAAGGGTGTGAACACAAAGAAGTAGCACAGGTGAATTCTGTGGAAATGAGGCAGTTCTGTGTCTTGATTGTAGTGGTGTTCACAGGAATACGTAGATGGGATCAAACTGCTTAGAGCTGTGTGCATATGTGCATATACAGATGAATGCAGGTTTTTTAAGTGCTGAAACTGTGAATTCCATAATCCAGTTAATCTAACAGTCACGTACCAAAGTCAATTTCCTGGTTTTGATGTTAAACTACAGTAATATAAGATGTCACCATTAGAAGCAGAGTGAAGAGTACAGGGACTACACACTAATTTTGTAACATCTTGTGAGTCTATAATTATTTCAAAATAAAATGTTTTTAAAAGGTAGTTTTTAAAACAGTATGTCATCTGAAGTGATTGTGTAGATATACTTTTTAGTATAACACTTTGTGTTTCAGGGATATAAAATTGTACTTCTCATTAGGATTCATTTTTCTGCGATACTATTTAGTACTTATTCATCTCTGCTTTTATTAATTTGTACATTTACGTTATATTTTCAAATCCCAAATATGACAATCATGTGATAATCATGATAATCAGTTTCTCCCCCATTTTCCTCTTACCTTCATGGTCTTATCTCCCATCTCCCTCATTCTCTGCTTCATGGAGATTGACATATATTAGAGATTTGCCCATGTTTATTCACACGGATTTTTTTTTTGCAAGTTTTCTTTAAGAGGAAAAACAGCTGAAGCTGGTTTTATTTATAATAGTGGATAAGCATATTTAATTAAACATTTTAAGTTTGATTTCTAAATTGCTATGTCTTACTCTGCTGATTTATTGTGCTTTGAAAAGTCATTTATCATTTCTTTCTCTCTCCTAAGGTGAAATCCATTCTTGAAAAGAATGAAGAGGAGCTCTCACGAGCAGTGAAGGGTCGTGATGCAGCGCTGAAAGAGAGTCAGAAGTTGAAAGGGGACCTCGAGGCTTTGGAGGACAGGGAGAACAAGAAGGCACGGCATCAGTCCTTCCTGCAGTCAGTTACTGAGATGAAGCGCTTCCAAACCTCCACGAGCCATGTTCTCTCTTTTCTTGTTTACTTTAGTTAAAAAGAATGAGGACGAATCAGAGGAAGATTTTTTTTTCCTAAAGAAAAAACTTTAGAAGAGCTTTAAAATATTTCCCTTAAAAATGCATAATTTAACTTTTTTTCTTATTGTTTTAAAATAACCAAAAGAAAAAGTCCTGATTTTTTCTGTTGAAATACATCTGATCTTGGTGATAACCACCACCTACTTATGTTTTATTAATGTGGTATAACACTGCCATGATTTTATGTTAAATCACCAAATGCTTTCTGCTTAACAGTGTGTGTGCTTGGTGGTAAGGGAGGTCACATCCCAAACTTCTACAGCAGGTGCTAAATTTTGCCTCTGAAGAGGGCTGTGAGTTGCATCATTCGTCAGCAGCTTCCGCTTTCTCTTATGGCCTTTTTCCCTGAGATAATTCTGATGGGCTTCAGATGTGTTACCTTCTTCTGACCCTACCATAAGGTAGCTGAGCAGGGCCGGCCTGGGAACACTCTAGACCCAAGCAGCTGTCGATCCTGATGTCTCTGGTTAACATATGTGCTGGGACATGGCAAGAGTTAGGAAGCACTACAGAGTCTTAGGATCCAGGGTCTAGTGTTCTTTTTCTCAAAGACATAATAACTTAAAATAGAAAGAAAATATACTTTAATTATTCTTCTTAGCTTTCTACCAGACGGGGTTTCCATGCTCTTTCCTAGAAGTAACGGGATTCAGCAGCAGCAGCAGGATAACCAGAAAGGATCAAATATCTTTGTCTTGTTTCATTTTCTATTAGGTGGGGAACTTTCAGCGACAACTGGCAGAGGCTAAAGAAGACAACTGCAAAGTTACAATCATGTTGGAGAATGTGTTGGCGTCTCACAGTAAGATGCAAGGTGCTCTGGAAAAAGTGCAAATAGAGCTTGGACGGAGGGATTCAGAGATTGCAGGCCTCAAGAAAGAAAGGTACCAGAGATGATTTTTTTTCTGTCTTTGTACTTGTATTTTTCTGCTGCATTGCAGCGAGGAACGGGGTGCAGTGAAGAAACAGTCACTTTATATTGCTCTCTCTGGAAAAATTAGTCAAATGGTATTTAAAGAACTAGCAATTTGGGGAAAATCTGTAGTGATGTAAATAAATGAGTGTGCATTCCAGAAATTCATGTATATTGCTGTTTTATCCTTATACCATTTAAACCTGCCCTTGGGTCTACAGAATGATAATTGTTGAGATAATTGAAGCTAAGGTATACTTTAGTTTGAATTAATTATCTATTTATTAGTATCCTATTTAAAGATTAGTAATTATTTTAGATGAATCATCCTTTATAAGTAAATTCTTTTGAATGTTTCAAAAACTTCATAAAAGTTTCCCTTTTAGGCTAATTTTAATAAGTCCTCTGAGATATACTATAATGCATGGATTGGTGGTGCATACTGCCTCTATGTTATGACAGAACAAGTGACTTTTACTCTTCATTCTGCTTATTTTTCACATTACGTATGTGGATTACTTTTGAACTTAAAAGTCAGTGGGATGGTATTAAAAATAGTTTATTATTCACAATAAAATTCTAGGTAAACAGTAAAAATCTCAATAGCAAACCAGTCTTCTTAGAGGCGTGATATATTTTTGTACTAGTGATAAATATACAGTATAAAATTACTAGTCCAGAAGTTAGTCATTAACATATATGATAGTTTAATTATTTAGCCAAATTAAATCATAGCTAGGACAAATTTCTAATCCCTAGGAGCCTTAGTTTCTTAACCTGAAGCTGTGGCTAATTGTCACCTACCAACTCCCAGATATTCTGAGCATCTGTAACCCACTCACTACACGTGCCATTTGAGCTTCATGGAAGAAGGACACCCTGTATCTCCCAATGGTATCATTCCTAGATGGTTCTTTCCTGTCGTTCTCTGTGCTTTCTGTTTGTAGGGCTCTAAATCAACAGCGGGTGCAGAAGCTGGAAGCAGAAGTGGACCAGTGGCAGGCCAGGATGCTTGTCATAGATGCTCAGCACAACAGTGAGGTAGAGGCTGGGTTTTTTTTTCTTGGGGGCAGGGGGGGGCCTTAATTAGGTTATTTATTTATTTTAATGGAGGTACTGGGGATTGAACCCAGCACACATTCTATGACGGAGCTGTACCCTCCCCCTGCATCTGGTTTTTATATACGATAATGTTATTTTTTATTTTATTGGGATAGTGCTGTTTTGGAAAAATGGAGTAAAACAATCAGGTAAATTTCCTTTCCATTTAAGTCTGAGTTTTGGACAGTCCAAAATTTTGGACATATTTACAAATGGGAGATGGGTCTACAGTCTTACAATGAGTCATTGACTGGCAAACTAGGACCACAGTTACGCCTAATTCTCTTTGTCTTATATGGTCTATATTCTTTTCATGTATTAATGCATAAATGATTACAGAAGTTAAGGGGCTTAGAGAGTAATGTATAACTTCAGTCAGAAGTAGCTAGACTGACCCCACTAAATAGGGAGACACCTCCTCACAGGTGTATGCACACAGGATCATGTATCTGCACATAGGCACATGTATAAAATACAAGGGCTATTTCATATGAGTAAGCTTTTTCAGGAAGGATATACAAGGGACACTTGCCTGTTCTTACCACTCTAGGCGGTGAGACCAGAGGGTGACAGAATCAGGAAAGGGAATTTAACTAGTTTAAAATTTTAGAGCCAAATGCATTCATCCTATTTTCTATTTCCCAAAGTGGTCTAGTGACCAATGGAGCATACCCTTCCCGTCACTTTCTAAGAGTCTCCTCAGCACTGTGTGTAGTAAGTTCTCACATATAAAGAGTGATATACAGTGTTTGTGGACTTCTTGCATCTGTTACAGTGGAATTAAACTCTGCTTTCTTCTCTCTTTCAGATGGAGCCTCTACAGAAAGCTCTAGATGTAGCTAGAGAAGACAACAGGAAACTGGCTATGAGCCTGGAGCAAGCTCTCCAGACAAATAATCATCTGCAAACAAAGCTTGATCATGTTCAAGAGAAATTGGAAGGCAAAGAACTCGAGAGACAGAATTTGGAAACTTTCAGGTAAGGGCAGTATAGTCACAGTGAGATTAGAAGAGAACCTCTGGGAGAGTGAGTCTGGCTTAGTCACAGAAACCAGTTCAGCCCTTTTCCCTACTTTGCACTGGTGCTCCTAGCAGAGCCGTGTGAAGGAAGCCGGCTGGGGTACACGCGCTCATCTGGATCTCTTTTTAAGCTCTTCCCTCATCTAATGTCAATCTCCTTCTGTACGTGAAAGTGAAACCAAGTTGGGACACTTGCTTTTAAAGTGCACATAAATTTTTGATAGAAAAGTTTTGGCAGAAACATGTATGATTTGGAAAAGGTAACAGCAGCCTGGATGGGAGTTACCCCTTCAGGAGTGGGATGATTCCATCTAACCAGATGCTGAATCACCATTCATTGTTTTCAGTTTTGGCCTGAGATGAGTTAGGTCAGACCCATCAAGTTCAGGTCGAGCCACTAAAGTGTTTCCTTAAACTGTATCTAGGTAAATACGATTTAGGTATTAATAACATTCCATGAAAATTTATACCCAAGGGAAATGCGTCATGCACATGGATCTTTTTTCAGGTGGTGAGCACATTGATACAGCAGACAGGTAAAAGCTAAAGCAGAGAACATATTTTTCATATTTTCGATCTGTACACGTTTTATGTTCTGGTGAAACGTTGCTGGCTCAAGGCTACTCAATATTGGTTAAGGCAAGAGTGTGTGTTTCACTCTTTCTGTTTTTTAATGCTATAGGCAAATGCTTATATTTTCTTCTGTTAATGACTTCCAGATCAGTGAGTTCACCTGGTGACTGATCTGCTCTCATTTATAAATCACACAGCTTTGGACAGTTTGCCTTTCTTACCTCCTAAGATTATTTCTAAAGGTGATTTATCGTCTTTTTCAAAACAGAGAACGGATGAATGAAGAATCCAAAATGGAAGCCGAGTTGCATGCTGAACGCATAGATGCTCTAAGAAAGCAGTTTCAAACTGAGAGAGAAACTGCAAAGAAAGCAGCACAACGGGAAATGACTGAGGTATGGAGGCAAGTGGCAAAGACGTCTCTCTCTAGGTGAATGCCTTTGGAGAGGAGAACCAGTTACGGAATTTCTGAGAATGGCTATGGTTGTTCTTTGGCTCTTCCAATCCTCCCCCTTCCCCAACAAGCCAGATGCATCTCTCTGCTATCTGTAAATCAACACACAAAAAAATTTCTGATACACAGTTATCTGCCCAGCAAAGGAAGAGACTGCCGTCTGATAGATACCAAATCATCTGTCTCCTTAGTTCACGTAGCTAGCATCCATCCTGCCTCTGCCTTCTCCTGCGAGG